AAAAGATGTGAAAAGATGATGGTGACAAATCTGGCTTTGGAAAGAGACAGGACATACTTTATACATTGTAGCTAAAACACAGAGCTATAAATCATCTGAAGCAGGACTAGTAGTCAGAAAGGAGCATGAACTCACATTTTGGGAAGGGTGAGGTAGGATGACTGTAGATTTTTGGCAGGAGACCGCTTGAAGCACACAAGAAGTGGGCTGACCTAGATGCCTGATAAGAGGCTCAATGAAATGAGAAGTGGGTGGACTTGGAGAAGAACTGGGTGGATCTGATTGTTTTGGCACTTAGGTATTTGATGTTTGATTTCCAGGGCAGCAAAATTTTAATCACCTATTGTTCGTTATTGGTTGGTTTCTTGGTGGTATGACTTGCACCTCTCTTCCCGAGTGGTTGCTGGGATGTGTGGAGCACAGGAGAGGCTTTGTGCAGCAGTTGGGGAGGAAAGAAGTGTCCTGGGTGGCAGGTGATCTGGAGGAACATTTCTGTGGAGGAGTTGTGTGAAGGGACATGTGAGGAGCAAAACGAGGGAGGCTTTGGGAGCTGCTCCTTTGCTCATGAGGGGATGTCGAGGTTGTGTGGTTTTGGGATGGAACCTCATCATTCTTTGTGATCAAATATGTTGCTGGGCTCCAATGGAAGTTAAAATATCCAGCTTCTCTTGCTGATGCCTGTCACCAAGTTTGCCCCTCTTCCTGCTGCTGCCCAGGCCTTGTGCTGCTCAAAGAGGCAGTGAAATTTTGATATCACTATGAGAGTAAAAGCTGAGCAACTTGAGTGTCTTAGATTGAAGACATCGCCTCTAGCTTAGTTTATTCAGCTTTTTGAGGAGTAAATACTCCACAGATGTATAAATAGTACTGAGTGTGTAATAGACATCAGCAGCTGGGTCTTGTAATTTTTAACAACTTACACACACACATGCAGTTCCATGTATGGGAGGATCTGTGTGCTCATGTGTTTATTCAGGTATTGTTGTGCTTAATAATATTGGCTATGATTATTGGGTGGAAATCTCTTTTGGTAGGAGGAGACAAAATACATTTCAGGATGGTATTTTTGAAACTCACACTCACTTAGGCTCAAAGCTAAGATATATTATGTGGCTGCTTTCTTTGACAAGCTAAAAAGCATCTTGTGTTATGAAAATGACCTAAAATTCATGAAACCCACCATAATTCCTTTCCTATTGTTTTCTTACATTGGTTTTTGTTCTTTCAGAATGCAACTGTATCTCAGCAGTAAATCTAAAATAACTCATCACTGGGAACAGTCCTTCTAGGATTACTGCTGTGCAACTATTCCTTGACTCTTGCACTACATCTGCAAGTTCCTAGAAACATGTGGTGTATTTACCTTTAGCCTGTGCTAGGCAATTAGGGGAGCTTGCAGGACACAAAGCGTTATGGAGCATATATGATTCCTGTCTGTGAACCCAGACACCATTAGACTTTTCTGCCAACATACCTTGCTTATCAGTTAAACTGCTGCTGCTCAGTCCTGCTCCTCCCAGAGAAGGGATAGCTTCAACTCCACCAGGTGATGGGGGAGAATGAAAGGAGAGGAAGAGAGGTGCAGGGCTCTATAGGTTCATGCTTTGACCACTTGACATGAAGAAGAATTTTCTTTCTGTGCAGTGACTGAACACTGAGCAGATAGTCCAGAGAGGGTGTGGAGTGTCATCACTGGGGATATTCCAGAGTTGTCTGGACACAATCCTGTGCCCTGTGCTCTGGGATGGCTGTCCTGGAGCAGGGAGGTGGGACCAGCTGCTCCAATGTGGCTCCTTCCACCCTGACCCATCCTGGAATTCTGTGATGATAGTGGAGAGTTGAAACTGCCTTTACTTTCACCCGCCTCTGTGGAGAGGCACTCCTTATCTCCTAGGCATTGCTTTAGGCAGCTCCAATTCTTGTTTAATGAGCCTTTGTACACTGTAGCTGTGTACACTTCTGTATACTGTGAGGCTTTAATGGCTTAAACACCTGCTGGTCTGTGAGGCTGGCTGCCTGTGGCACTATGATGAGGAACTTTTGCCCTTGCTTTCCCTGCAGTGAGTGGAAAAACTTCCACTGGCTTCAGTGGGAGAATGACTGGGCATTTGTGACAAGCAGTCCCGTGAGCGTTGTTGCTTTCAGCCCCTAATTCTGCAATTACTGAATACAAAGGGCCATGCGTAAAGTCCAGGGGCGTAATTACTGTTTTGACTTCCCTGATGATTTATCTTAGGCACTACCAATGAACTGTACAGCTTAATTACAGCAGTTACTTGGAGGGATTGTGCAAACCCCAGGTATTTATTGTGTTCAGGGAAGGTCTAGCTCAGTTAGAGATCATTTCATACATGTGCAGGGATCTCTTTTGTCATTTATGTGCTGCCAAATGTATGGAAAACTGAAGTTCAATTGTGTTGCATGTGCCAGGTGCTGAATGACAGCAGAGAGCACAAAGCAGTACTGTCTGCAGTCCAGCGGGGGAATTAAATCCCCTGAAGTTTGTTAAAGCTTCTCTGATAATACCATGGCTAAGTGGCTTGAATACTGGCACCGTAATTTGGATCAGTGTTTACATAGCTTGCACATTTTATGGTATAATACAATAAATACAATACAATAAATTCTGCCTTTATCTGAAAAACCTGGTCTGGTGCACTTTGGCTTCCTATTCAAACCTACAAGCAAGTGATCCTAAAACCTGCTGTGGTGTGGTCTGACAGTCACTGCAGGTGCCCAGGACCTTTTGCAGCCAAGCCTGTTGTTTGGCTTCCCACATCTCAAATGGATTTGTTAGCAGGTTACAAAGGTCTTGAATTGCTGCTTGTTTGACACAGCCACCTCGCAGGTGTCAGTAACAAACCAGCAGCTGCTTTTGGCTTGCTATAAAAGTGGGATTTGAATATTTTGAATTGTGTATCAGCGGAAGTGGTCTGTGTTTGAAGAGCCTCTTCTGTTCCCCTCCACAGAAATCTTGCGTCATGTGCAATGTGCAGCTCAGTTCTCCCTACGGTGCTGTAACAAGCACCTCCAGAGTAAACAAGGAGCTGTTAGACTCCCTGAAGGTCATGCAGCTGGAATACAGGATGAATGGCTTTATGTGGAAATGCTGGGGATTAAACTGTTAATTTAATAACTGCTAAATAAACAAAGCAATACGTTCCTCAGATTTTTGTCCTGTGTTATAAGAAACAAAGGTGTGAGAAGCTGAGATGCTGAGCAAGGGCTTAGGAGATGATGTGCCTGTCCTGCCACATGTCAATCAACCTTTCTGTGCTCTGATTTTGTGTCCATAGGATGGGAGCAGCACCCGTTCCTTTTTCCTTTGTCTTCTCTGATGTCCTTGGTTCCTGAATGCTGCCCAACTCATTTATAGTCCTTATCTCTGTGCCTTTAGAGAATGCTCAATGGCAAGTGCTTGACTTTAATTGTTGGATGTCTGTTCTGTGCAAGGCCAGTGTGTTTGAGCACTGCAGCTGGCTGGCTCAGACACTCTGCAGGATCTCGTTTGTTTTGCTCAGCACCAGCACCTTGTTTCCTATCTGGCTTTTGCTACGGTGACATGTCATGATGAAAGGTTTGCATTCCACCCACAGCTGTGGTTGCCATCAAGGAACACAGGAGGTTCCCTGTGAGTTATGGTTGGCTTTTCAATATGCCTCCATCCTGACAGTGATCAAGGAACCTTATGGGTTCCTCCTTAAAAACCTTTGAGGGATTTTGTTGAGAGGGAGAAGTACTCCTTGGTATTAAGATCCTTTGGCAAAGCTTCTGTTAAGGTAGTGCTTTCCAGTCAGCTCTCTCTGACCCCAGGTTTTAGGTGCTGTTTATAGGAAGCTTTGGCCTATTAGAACATGGACAGAGTGCAGGATGCCTGCAAGACTCTTTCTGAATCCTGCTTTCCAAACCTCACCCTGTTCTTGTTAAGTCTGGCCTAACCTAGACTATGAAGAGCACAGCTCCCTAAGGCCCCCTGCTCGCTCCTGAAGCTGTTTCTTTAATTCTCTTTCCTCACTGACACCTCATGTTTGCATCTAGGTCTGTTATGAGATTGGAACTGCTGACTTCCAAAATTCTTTGTCATTTTTTGCTTCTGGGAGCTGCAGTCTCAGTGGACACTTTGTCATCTTGCTAGAGGTAGAAAATTCATGGGCTGGGGGATTGGCCTCGCTGTGCTCATGGCTGGAGGCAAAGCCTTCACCAACTTGAGTGAAAGCTGAATACATCTATTGAGTAACTTGGCTGAAGCCAATCTGTGGTTTTTCTGGCAATTTCCAACAAAAATGCTGCTAAGAATGTTGCTGTGAAGTGGCAGGGCAGTAGTGTGTCCTTAAATATGATTTTCCTGAATAATTGTTTGAAATGGGCAAATTATTTACAGGATACTTCCTGAAAGGAAGCTGAATTTATGTCTAGGAAGTTCTGAGATAAGTTTAACAATTCATATTTTAAATTTTATTGTTTATTTACCTTCTAAAATATTGCAAGAAATACATTAGATTTGTCATCTAGATTTTCTGCTGTGGATTAAAGAAATGCTTATTCATTTCAGCACAGGAAAATGTGGTTTTGGGAGTTTTGATCAGAGCTGAACCTTAATTCCACATGCCTCGTCAGAGGAAAAAGATGGGAAATGGTGAAGAAGAAAATCTGACAGCTGCAGAGAAACAAACTGTTTCTGATTGAGGGTTAATGGCTTTGATGAAGGAAAACATAAATTTTACATGGAACATTAATGTATGTGGTGTGACAAAAGGGATTTTAACTGGATTTAAATGAAGTGGAATCTGAAACACAGACCATAATTTAGTGCTGTCTAAGAAATCCTCTCTCTGGAAGGAAAATGTAGACTTTCATGGTTATGCTTAGTAACTGAATAACAGAGTTTCTAAGGTGTTTTTTGTATTACACTGGAGAAATGTGGAAGCTTTGGGATGTGTGGTGTGTTTATAAACATTGATGGCATGTTATAATGAGTGTGATAACTTTTCTTTCTCTAGGTTAGTGGATGACCGGTGTGTGGTCCAGCCAGAGGCAGGTGACCTTGCTAATCCTCCCAAGAAGTTCCGAGGTCAGTAACTGGGGATCATTTCTCTTTAATGGCCAACCGAGGCAGTTCCAGCTCCTTGGGCACTTTTGTCAGGTGACTTCCCAAAGGGTTTGTGTACACTGGGATGAAGTTTCACGCTGGAACATGAATGGCAGATTTTGAGAATGAAATACAAAATTTGCAAAGGCATGAGAGGCAGGTGGAAAATATAAGGAAAGGGGTTGAATTTTCCTGTAGTCCAAGCGTTGTTCTGTACATTGAACACTGATCCCCTACTCTGTGACAAACTTTGCTCCAGCCCTGCTCTCACTGTAAATGGGAAAGAAACTTGTGAGGTCCAAAGCTATTTGAGCTGATGGATTGTTTATTTTTTTTTCAAGATAAGATACCATTTTAAGGAGTACCCTCAAAAGTTTTGTCAGCTTTTTGTTTTGTTTTTGCTTAAAACTGTGTCTGATTCTTTTCAGCTTGACCTCGTAGATTTGGATAATTCTGCTGTTCTGCTTATTAGAAAAAAAATAACAGTGCACTGACAACATGTAGTTTTTACTTCTTGACTGCTAAAAAAAGTACTCTTAACTGTGCTAGAGCAGAGCCTTAATAGTCTGATCCAGGCCTCTTTTAGTTTAAAGGGGTAGGATTCATACTGGTTCTGAGATAAAAAGAATATGACTTGCCTGATTTAGAGCAAGGGAAATGTTTTTCATGGCTGTTTGTATCTATTTTCAGTGATCTTTAAGGTCCCTTCCAACCCAAGCCATTCCATGATTTTCAGGGGTTGCATTGGCATGCTTAACCTTAGGATTTTATTTGCAGTGTTTATGTATATGCTACTATTGCAAAAAATAAAGCATTTAAAACATCAGGAGAGTGAAATTCTGCTTTCCAGAGAGTTCAAGACTTTTTTCCATTATATATTCAGGAAACATAGCAGTTAGTTCCAGTTCCAGCTGTGAGCATTCAGCACACTGGCAGATACTGGAAACGGAGAAAGTGAGGATGCATACTTAGAAACCAACAGTAATAAATTTCAGCCTCTTGTGTGACTGAATAACTTTAAAGCAGAGCTGGGGGTAGCATCCAGTGTGGCTTTCAGGCTATTTAATTGTGATTTCACCCTCTCACTGCCTGCAAGTACATGTGTAACTCACAGTCTCCAGGTTGCACAAAATATTAGGTGGGGATTCTTTGGAAGATATTTCTGTCGCTGGACTACTCTGATGTGTTTCTGAAGTTGAGCATATCCAGGTTTCTAGATGCGACCAAGGTCACTGGGAAAGATTTGTGATAGGGTAATTGAATATACCCAAATACCTACAACTAAGAATCTCAACAAAAAGACAACCATAATTTTTTCACTGTCTAGTGTTTGAGGGCTTGATTTTATACCTTCATTACATTAGAGTTCTTTTCTTGCAGCTCCGTGTTGTTCATTTCTAACTTCAAAAGGCAAAGAAAGAAAAAGTTGATAGGTTTCTGTGATGATGATTTGGACACTGATGCAGGGTGGAAGCTGACTGAACTCCCAGCCCTAATGATTTGCCATCAGTGGTGGCAGCACATGTGGAGCAGATGTCACAGGGGGATGGGACACTGACAAATGTACAGCTGTTTTCTGCTGCTGGGGAAACCAAGGGCTCTACTCCTGATTTACATCCCAGCTTCTGTAATGGAGTGGTTTCCATTAGTTGTGGACAGTTTTGGCTCTTTCCCTTTTTGTAACCTCTGTCTGTTGCTTGCATAACACATCCCTTTATCTCAGTTATCCCTTTATAACAGTTGCCTCTGTTCCCTCTTCTCCACAGCATCAAACTTTCCTTTCCTCTAACTCAGATCCTCTTCTTTTTGGGGAATCTCTCTTCTCCCTCTCCTTCCCTGTCCCAAAACTTTTTAGTAGCTACTCTGCTCCTCCCTGCTGCTGCTTAGCTCCCTTTGCAGTCTTTCTTCCAGTCACTCCTTAGCTCTCTCTAATTTATAGTGCACCATAGCTTAATTTTGGGACTGCTGGCATGGTGGTAGCGTGCAAATCTGGATGAGCTGCAACACAGAATGATTTGGGAAGGGACCTTAAAGCCCATCTCATCCCACCTCCTGCCATGGGCAGGGACACCTTCCACTATCCCAGGTTGCTCAGAGCCCCATCCAGCCTGGCCTTGGACACTGCCAGGGATCCAGGGGCAGCCACAGCTTCTCTGGACAATCTGTGCCAGGGCCTCAGCACCCTCTCAGGGAACAATTTCTTCCTCATATCCAATCTGAATCTACCTTTTTTCAGTTTTAAATCATTCCCCCTGTCACTCCATGCTCTTTTGAAAAGTCCTCCATTCAGCTTTCTTGTAAGCCCCCTGAAGATACTGAAAGGTGCTGGAGGGTCTCTAACAGCTATGGGAGAAACTAAACCAGTGAAAAAGTAATTGTCACATTAATTTATGCAACCCAGCCTCTATAACAGCACGACTGTAGTGTTAGGGGCATAAAATATTATTTTCCTGCTGCTTCAAGTATCCATAATCAATGTGTGTTCAGGAGGATGGCTGCAAGAAAGATAAACCTATCATTTGGATGTTTTCTCCTTCATCCTTTAAGTCAAATTCTAAGTGTGAGAATAGCAGGAGCTTTGCTGAGAGCCCAGCAGAAACTTGCTGTCTAATTTAGATTTAGTGACTTGAACCACGGAGGTGTCTCTTCCATGAGAGCAGCCAAAAGCAGATCTCTGCCATGCTTTACTAAATTTCTTAGCTCTGATCAAAACTCTGAGGCAAAAGAGTTGCTAAATATTGTTCTATTAACCAAGAATCTAAGCAAAATCCATATTTTTCTCCCCAAGAATTTTCTGGGAAATAGCTTTCAGTTAAAGCAGCAAAGTTAACAAACCAAACAAAATCTGCTTTAAGTAGGTTCTTGACATGAAAGGAAGACTTAGGCATGAATGATTAATTGAATGATTAGACATAAGCAACTGAAAATAGCATCTAAGAGCAGGATGAGTAGGGCCTCTTCACTAATAGGAACTGCTGTCTGTATGGTTTACAATGTTTTTATCACTCATAGCTGAACTGGCGTTGATTTGAGGTTAGAGCACGACCTGGGAGTCAAAGAAGTATGAGAAAAACATGTTTCTGACAAGATGTTTAGATTTCAAGGACTGACTCTGAAAATTAATATCAGACAGGACTGTGTTTGCTCTTTTTTGGTAATATTTTATCAAGCCTTTCCCTAGTGGGAGGGACAAAAAAGAAAGAGTGTGGTTTTTGAACTGCTTGTATCTCCCCTACAGGGTTCACTCAGAGATCAAATCAAGGTACTGAGCTGTTGGCCTGAACTGAAATGCTACGTAAAAACGTGTCTCAAAATAGCAGTTTCATTTTTGTTATGTGTTTACTTTCTTTTTTTTTTTTGAGTGGGTGGTTGCTATTCTGGTTGTTTCAGAACATCCTGCAGCATGGAGTGTTGTTAAGCTAAGGGAAGATGTGGTTGCTTTGTGTTTTGTGTCCATATGAAGAAGCTGTGCTCCCCTTTCCTTTCCCAGTCACTTTGGGATGAACCTGTGGCTCTGTGTTCACCAGGGTGCACATCCAGATTTGCATCAGTGCAAAGGAAGGTGGAATTTGGCACCACATGTGTTTTCCTGAAGCCTGGTGAAAAAAACCCCACAAAACATTTACTTTACTGCAGTGGAATTGAAGGGACTGATGAAGCCAGGTGCTGTATTCCTTAATTCCAGCTGAAGCTGGTGACATCCAAGGCACTGAATGTGGTGATGGAAATGCTTCCTGTGCTGCAGGGCTGGGCTCACAGAGATTGGGAAGAACACTGTGTGTGCCAGGAGTGATGGACCTCTGAAAAAAAGTCACATCAAGAGCCACACAACTGCAGGTTCCCTTAGTCTGGGACCCTAAACACACTTCAGCTTGATGTTCCTATCTCCGGTGGGAAACACTTTCAGCTTCCAAGGTGTACAATAGCACAGATCAGACTTGTTGGTCAGATTGAGAAGCTCTGCAAAAGGGGCATAAGTCTCTCTACTATTTTAAATGTAAAATCACCTAAGTTTTTAAACTGGTCTAAATTTTCTTACTTGTATTCCTTTGTTTTCTTGAGGCTTCTGCTGTGAAAGTGATGCTTAGGCTCCTAAATACTCTCATTTGCCTTTCAGGTTTTAGTCTGATCTAAGATTTTTCTGACATTGTTCTTTGGTCTTCTCTCCCTTCCATTACCTTCCTCTGCACTCTCTCCTTTCCTCCTCCCACCCTTTTCTCCTCCATCTGCCATTTTTCTTTTTACTTGCCTTCTACATAATTTTGGTTTATCCTTTTATTTTCTTCTTGTTTCTCCCAGTTCCATAATTGCTTTAATTTGCTTCTCAGATTCCTGATAGATTTTTTTTTTGTTGTTGTCCTACCTAGGACTCTTTTTGCCCCACTCCTCTCTCCCTCACATTTTTTCTCTTTTCATTTTCACATTAGTTCTTTTTAACCTTTCTGTCTATTTTCCCATATTTGTACGCACTGTGATTTTATAGCTCTGTCACTTCCACTTACTCATTTCTCTAATTTTAGTAAAGCCACGTGATAATTTCTCTAGTTCTGCAAACCAAAGAAATCTTCCATGATGGGCAAGAGTTGAATTTCTAACATTAAAAAAAACCAACAAAAAAACCAGGAGAGAGCAGAGAGAGAAAGCATCTGACAAATATTGTACTAAACCATCTTTATCCAATATCAAGAAACATTTAAAGGGCATAATAGGAGTTATTTTCCTTTTCAGACTTCCTGAGTGAGGGTGCTATTTGCTTACCTTTGATATTCCCTCCTTAATGAGTCCTCAGGAAGAGAAACATTTATGTAAAGCTCCATAAAGTAATGGATTGGGAACTAGGACTATCTGGGAATGTCTGGAGAATTCAGAAGAGACATTGTGTCTCATGAGTGGGTTGCTAGACTGACCTCCAGGAGGGAATGGCTTTTTGATCTGCTTTATAATCTTATGCTTCAGCTTCTCTTTTTTTCCTGTTTATTTGAACTGTAGCATCTTTAGGGCAGGCACTGTTCCACCCCCTCGCAATGTTTAGGATCATGAAGCTTGGATTTACATAGTGTTGTTACTCTAATAAAATAAATGGGGGAGGGGGGGAAACACGGAAAAAAACTATGAGATGACCTGGTTTCAATGCGTCTGGAATCCTAAAAAAATAAAACAAAATAGGAAAAATCTTGTCTGGGAACAAATAATATGATTTTTTTTCCTTTTAGTCAATAAATTGAGGGAAATACAATTGAAGTAATACTGATTTGAAAAAGGTTCTCTGCAGAGAACTGTGCTCTGAGACTGGGCAGGAGGATGGGAAGCGCTGTGTTTACTCAAAGTAGCAGGATGTGTGGGGAGTAACTGAGAAGTGAAGACTGATCCTATAAAAAGAAGGTATTGTTACTTCAGAGAAATAAATGTTTCATGAAGCCTTCTGAGAAGGCATGTTAATTATAGATTATGACAGAAAATAATAGCAGACTTTTGTCTTATGAGCTGAAATCCTGATACTTCAGGTAAAATATCCTATAATATATAGTAGAGTTTAATGGTACACAACACTTTGGGGTTTGGGGCTTTTTCACCTTCTTGGTTTCCAGAATAGTGTAAAAATTAAATAGTGTAAAAATTACCTGGGGATTGTGTACTCTAGGTCGTGTGATGTAATTTCCATTGTAAATGTGATAGCAAACACCTTTGCTTTGATAAGGATTTGTAGGACTGTTTCCTTGGAACAGCAACTCAGGGCTGCAAGAGGGGGGCAAATCCTGGAGCACTTTGGGTCAGTGCCATGGAAAGTTCTGCCCCTGGGGGCAGTTTTGTATGGACAAGCTTTGCTGCTTGAATAGGGGCTGGGTCAGTCCTCAGCCAGTGCTTGGCCATCTGTGCCAGTGAAATATGGAGGGCTCTTAGCTGGGGACAGACCTTCCTTTGACATCCACAGACTGCAGCACAGCTGGGGAAGAGTTTCACCCTACAGCACCCAGGCAGTCCTGGGTGTCCTTACTACTCCCACAGCAGAACTCTTCCTTCTTCTTGCCTGTTAATACTCCTGGCGTGTGAAAGGACAATTACCAACATTTGCTACATGGAATGTCTGTCAAGTCTTGCTGCTTTTAGAGCAGTTGATGATTGTGACCGTGCAAGACTAGATGTTGTTTATCATTCTAAAAGTAATTGGCTTGATGAATCATGAGCCTCTATTTCCAGTTTATAGGACTGCCACTGAACAAAAACAAAACCAAAAACTCTCCAGTCAGGGAATTTCACAAAATTCAGTTTATTGCCAATTAACATTAACTTTCAATTATTGATTTCTATATTGGGAAATAAAGATGAACAATTGAACAAGCATTTAAGAAGAACCCCTTGGCTTAAATCCAGAGGTCTCTCCCCTTTCTTGATCTGCAGCCTCCTCATTCCACATGGGGAGGTGGTGGGGAATGGGATGAGGGTTGGTGTATTGAGATTCTCTTTCCTTTGCTGCTCCTCATTTCTTACTCAGCATCTCAGCATTGGCTGCAGTCTCCTTCTTCTCCTCCTCCTCATCCTCTTCTCATCCTGCTCAGGTGGCTCCTGCCTCCTCACCTGCTTTTTTTCCTGGTCTGTTGGACAGTGGTGATGTTCAGTTGGGTCACTCAGAATAAAAAACCCTAACAGTAAAAAGATCTCAGTGAAGGCACAGAGACCCAAGCTCTGTGTGAACCTGCTTGGTTGCTGGCACTGCTGAATTGCTCGGCCACCTTCGGATTCAGCAGTGCCAGGAGGAGCTGGGCAAGCCAGGTGTGTGGCATACAGACAGCAGGACCGTTCTTCCAAGGTTTCACAGGCCTTCAAACAGTGCATCTGTGATGTTGGGGTGCTCATAAATCAGCAGGCAGATATGGCAGGATCACAGCCTGGGGCTTTTACAGAGGTTGCAAAGTGGGAACCTGTGAGGCTCCAAAGGCTTTATGTTCCACTCTGATGTTGTGCCACCCTGTGTCTGGTATCGTTGCCACCAAGCTGACTTGGTGGCTATGTTTAAACACTGCTATCTGGACATTTTGTGACAAAAAAACCCTAACCAAAGCATACTTACAAATGAAGGAAATGTCTTTCACCATGACTTAGGAGTATTTCTTTCAATCTTTCCCCAGACTGCCTTTTCAAGGTGTGTCCTATGAACAGATATTCAGCCCAGAAGCAATACTGGAAAGCCAAGCAAGCCAAACAAGGAAACCATACTGAAGCAGCACTGCTGAAGAAACTTCAAGTAAGAGACATCTGTATTTGTAATCTTATCTCAATCTGCAGGCTGTAGAATTACAATAGCACCAGAAACAATAATAACAAGTGCCTTGGGAACCACTGTGATAGGTATTATTATGCCACCATAGCAACTCTATATTCTCCTTAGCTCTCCAGCCTCCTGGCTGGCATTTATAGCCCCTGGCCTGGTGTTTATCTCACTTTGGGCTGGGGGGTTTTGCCTTTGCTGTAAGCAAGGTTGTGCTTTCAGAAGTTTTATAAAGCAAAAATGGAGTTGTTAAAATCAAGATGGAGCTCTGGTTTAAATAATGCTGGAAATCCTTACCAGGAATTAGGCAGAAGAGTGGACAAAGGGATGTCCTCAATGCTTTAGCCAGGAAATTCCTCAAAATTGTGTTTGTCCTTGCCTTCAGTCTAGGTGATTATTTTGTGAACCCTTTTGCAGATTCTATTTTGCCTCAAATACAGTGTGGATGGAGCAACTCATCTATTTCTGAAAAACAGCTGCCCTGATGTTATAACTGAATGCATGAGACTAAGTGAAAACAAGGTCCTGTCAAACCTGGATGCCAATTCTGTGGGCAGTGGAGAGGTCACCAGTGCTTCCAGTTAAAAACAGCAAGGAAGGCACATGATGTGTGGCCAGAGTTACACAGCAATTGGTGCTGCGAGCTGAGAATTTGCTTTGTGGCTGTGTTTGACCCAGTCTATTGTGTTTAATCTTAATGTTTTTGTTTTGTTGTAAAGTCCATGTGTTTATGTACAATTAAACCTCAACAAGTAAAAGGAGTGGTGACAGTGAGAAACTAATCACAGGCCCTTTTTTATCTTCTACTGGATGAAATAAAGCACCTGGAATTACTTTTTGGGCTTAAAATTTTTTAAAGTAGCATGTATCTCAGATGTGACCCATAAATTGTGACAGAGTCCCTATTTTGGGTAATAAAAAAAAAATCAAAATCAGCGTCAGGATTTGGGTGCTAATATTTCCAGTGCAGTAATGCTTGTAGGTTGCAGGATTTAAATACGATGCCATTTCCTTTTTGCACTGTGTGGTTCAGGTACTTCTTCTGTAGAGTCTAAAGAAATAATCGTTCTCTTGCAGCATGCAGCAGAACTGGAACAAAAGCAGAATGAAAGTGAAAACAGAAAGCTGTTGGGTGAAATTGTAAAATACAGCAACGTCATCCAGGTAAACCTATTGAAATCCATCTGCCTTCTCAGTGTTGGAAAGGAAACAGTTGTTTCATTTCAAGGTTACAGTGAAAATGAAACTAACTACCTGCTGTAATCTGGATTGTCAAGGGTCAGGTAAACAGAACTTGGTGAAGTTTACAATATTGTGCTTTTCTGCCTGTTTCAAAGCCTACCAGAAGTGCTGCATATTCCTGTTTAAACAATATGTCATAATAAAAATTCTATGTGTATTTCTTGGTGCTGCAGTTTAGAATCTCAATGTAAATATGTCTTTAATCTTCAAGACTTATTTCAAAATCGTGCTATAGAGGTGCTGTGCAGCTCCTTTTAAATCATTGAAGTAATCTGTATTTCATGACATATAAATGAGACAGGAGCTAAGTGCAGTACAGCTTTTCTGCAATGGATATAATTCATGAAGGGAACACTGCAATGGACCCTTGCCCTGCTCTAAAATTGATCCCTGACACATTTCTCTCAATTTAAGATAGATTTTCCTAAAGAGTAGCATACTTTGATAACTGCCTTCTAGTTCTATTTTGTATTTATATTTATTATAGAAAATCTCTGCAGTGTGAAAGCTTGCACCTCCTCTTTTGACTGGAGGGAGAAAAAAGCAACTAAAAGCTGTACTAATTAAAAAAAATTATTATTTATTCCCAGCTACTGCACATAAAAAGCAACAAATACCTCACAGTCAACAAGAGATTGCCAGCTCTGCTGGAGAAGAATGCTATGCGGGTGTCCCTGGATGCTGCAGGGAATGAGGGCTCCTGGTTTTACATCCAGCCATTCTGGAAACTGAGGAGTGAAGGTGACAATGTAAGTGGAAATACTGAATGTGTTAAGAAGGAGAAGGGAGAAGAATTCCAGGAGACATAATTTCTTTGCTGCAGGCCTATTTCATAATGGATTCAGTTCAGGAAAGAAGAAATTAGAAGAGTGATTGGGACTATTATCTTTCATGTGTAACTGGAAAGTGTTACTAAATTACATGGTCTGGAATCTGATGTGTTGCCATATTCAACCGAGCCTCTCCATTGAGGCATCTTTGCCAGTTCTACCTGTTTTGTGTGCAGATTTACAGAGCTGACAAGAAATCATAGTTTATGCTAGAGTCTGGTTCTTTTAAAGTTTTGTTGTTTTTTTTTATTTTGTGGGCAACATTTTTTTCAAGAGGTCAGTAGAGAAAGTCTCAAGGAAATATCTCAGGCTTCTTTAAATCTGTATTCCCTCCTGATGTGAAAATGGTATCTATGATTGGAGCTGGGTTGGATAGTCTGGAAAGTCTTTTCTGGGTAGGTTTCAGCAGGAGTCTTACATATTGATGAGAGGAAGAATGCACAGGAGAGCTCTTTGCTGCAGATCTGAGAGCTGTGCCGTGAGATCACAACTCCCTTCTGCATTCTGTGGCTTGGTGAAGTGCCTGATGTGGAGAATTCACATCTGCCTCTGAGAAGGCACACGATGATGAACTTGTGTGGTTTTAAATTGTGGACCTGCCTGGGAATGTTTGGCTTCTTTCCCCTGTGCATAATCAGTGAAAGCCTTCTTAAGATTGCAAAAGGGAATGCCTCTTTTTTCATGTGTTTTCTCTCATTAATTTTGTGGTTACCCAGCCCTTGGGATGCTCTCCAGGATGATGAGTGTGGTTGCTTGCAACTCCTTTTGCAATCTGTTCTGGAGAGGATAATTCCCAGCTCCTGGTCAAATATCCCTAAAGTCAGAGTCTTTCCCTGCTCCATGTAGTGATCAAAAGGATATGTGAAAATCCTCCTTTTTCCCGAAGCAGAGGAGGGGAGGAAGAAAAGGAACAAATCCCATCTCCTTAAAAAAATCCTCTAAAATGAATGCCCCAAAAAAATCCTGACCAAAACTGCCTCTAAGAAACCCCCCACAAAACCCCTTTAATTTAAGTATGCTTAAACATTTTTTATATTTCTATTTTTGATCTTTATATTTATAGCTATAGTTTATAATTCCATATTATATATAATGTATTTTATATTACAATATATTTTAATAACATATATACAATATTGCGTAATACATACTATATATTATATATATAGCTTATATTTATTAATATTTTATATTGATATTTTATTGGTATATTATTTATGAAAAAAACCCTGCCTCTAACCAAATAAAACAAAAAAGTTATTTAAAATTATATTTAAATATTTCTCATATTTATAATTTATATTTATATATATATTACATATATGATATATTCTAATATACTATAACAATATACGTACAATATTAGTATATACCATAAATATATTATACATATATTTCTATTAATTATATTTATATATTTATTATATACTTGTGTATTTTTATTTTTATATAACTTATATTTATACTTACATGATGTATAAAACCCCCTGCTTCTAACCAAATAAAAACAAAAGCTTCTTTATTTTAAACTATATTAAAATATTTTTAATATTTTTAGTTTTATGTTTATGTGCAGAATCTACATTTATATATTGTTACATATTTACATTTGTAATATAATATATAAAATATATTATAAATTATATAATATAATGTAATATATAATATATGTATATATTATATAATATAATGTATAATATAATATATAATGTATATAATATAATGCATATATTATATAAAATATATTTATAATATATATTATGTATATTATACATAATTTAATAATATATATATTTATATTATACATATTATTCATATATATTTATATGTATTTATATATGTATTTATATATATTTATAGTGTTGAATTTATATTTAATATCTATTTATATTCACATTTATGTATTTATAGAATTATTTTATAGTTTTACATTTATTTTAAAACTTATTTAAACTATATTTAAACTATATATATCTGTATATTTAAACTACATATATATATATTTTATTTTTATTTAAACTATAATTTAAACAGTATAAATTCCTTTACCCTACACATCAGAACCTCAAAAATATAAAACCTTGGTCAACCTTCACTCTTGATTTTGGCTCCCTGACACACACCCAGACTATGCAGCAGGGCAGAGCAGCTCTGGGCCAAGCACATGCAGACACCTGTGACACAGGAAATGACAAATTTGGGGACACAACAGGGAGAGAAAACTCTTGGCCACAGGAATGACTGCAAGGACTGAAAGAATGTGGAATGACATGAGCGAGGTGAGGCCGATGGTGAGCCGAAGAGGCTGGAAGAACCCTGGAGGAAATGTGGAGGAAGGAGATGCTAACAGAGAACCACAAAGATGGGTGCCCGAGAATCCTACAGTCAGAATCCTCTGACACTTCTTCACACCCTTACAAGTCCTAATCCACTGGAATGGATCATTGTGGTCCATAACAGCTCAGAACAAGGCCTGTAAAGACCCCTGACTGGATGCTTCTAAAGAGAGATGTGATTCTGATGCCTGTCCGAGCTCCTGAGTGAAAGTTTTGATGGTACTGGCGCTGGGCCGAGGAATGCAGAGATCAGAGATGTTAAGAATGACACCAGGGTTTCCAAAAAGCCCCTCCAAGAGCCAGGGTTTCTGGGTAGAACCTGGTCTGAGTTTTCCCCCATACCAGAGCCATTCTGGTTTCTGGGCATAATCCGGTTTCCTGGTTTTCCCTCATACCGGATCCATTCCGGTTTCTGAGCAGAATCCGGTTTCCGGGTTTTCCCCCATACTGAATCCATTCCGGATTTTGGGTAGATCCAGTTTCTGGGTTTTCCCCCCATACTAAATCCATTCCAGTTTCTGGGTTTTCCCCATACCAGATCCATTCCGGTTTTTGGGTAGATCCAGTTTTTGGGTTTCCCCCATGCTAAATGCATTCCAGTTTCTGGGTGTAATCCAGTTTCCGGGCTCCCCCCCATAATGGATCCATTCTGGTACTGGGCACAATCCGGTTTCCAGGTTTTCCCCCATACCAGATCCATTTCGGTTTCTGGTTTTCCCCCTACGAGATCAATTCCGGTTTCTGGGTTTTCCCCTATACCAGATCCATTCCGGTTTCCGGATTTTCCCCCCATACCAGATCCATTCCGGTTTCCGGGTTTTCCCCCCATACCAGATCCATTCCGGTTTCCGGGTTTTCCCCCCATACCAGATCCATTCCGGTTTCCGGGTTTTCCCCTGTACCAGATCCATTCCGGTTTCTGGGTTTTCCCCCGGACCAATCCATTCCAGTTTTCAGGCATCAGGGTCACTGCCTGCACCTCTGAGGGGTTCTGGCATTGTTCTGCGTTAGGGTTGCTGCCTGTAAAATCTTGGACACTCCCGTCTCCAAAGCTGACTCCAAAACCCCTCCTGGCAAGTCCTGACCCAGGACCTCCCTTTCATCTCCTCTTTGGTTGAAGCCCTTGACTTAACTCTCAGACATCCGGGCATGTGAACTCACGTGGGGTGTGAAGGAAGGGTGCCTCTCCCTCTGGAAATTTCCTGCCCTCATCGGGCTGCTGTCCCTTAGTCACCTACAATAAGGAAAACCAAACATCAGTGTGTGATCTTAGCAGCACCATCAGCCAAAACCCAACAATTCTGCCACGCACCATCACCATCTCCTGAGAATGCCTGGATCCTCGGGCCACACACTCTGGGGCTGGCACTGTCCCCTTGCAGAGAAATACAGTAAATACAGCCCTCAGGAGGGGCCTCTGCATGGCTTTTCAGCTGGGGAACACAAGCGTGGCTCAAACATCAGCCTGGTATTTCTTTTCCTTCTTTGGAGAGTGTCTTGGGGTGACTGTGTGATGCTTGTATCCCCAGTGATCTGTTCTGTTGGTGCTGAATGTTGAGTTCTGCACCTTTCAGACTGGTTCCAGGAGTGAGGGGAGAGCAGAGGTGCAGAGTTTGTTATCACAGACTGCACCTGCTCCCCTGCATCCTTCACACAGACACATCCCTGAATCCTTCACACTGGGCTGTCTGCAATGGACAGCAGAGAGAGCTCTCCTTTGCTCTTGCTTAGTTTCTGGATAGCTGAGGCAGAGAAGCTCCCTGGATTGTGGTTTGCTTTTTTATTCCCCTTTTCCTTGGAATTGTTTGAACCTGCTCTGAACTGAAAACCCAGAGGAGCACCAGGAGCTCACACCTGTGTCCCACCAGGCCTGGGCTGGGCTGTGACATTTCCCAGGGATGGAGGGACTGAGAACAGCCTGAGTGAGCCGGGCAACCCACAGAAAGAACTCTTCTAAATCTTTCATCTCTTCGGAGGGGCGAGACGTTTTGCTGTTTAATATGGTTCATTTTTGTGCTGGGAAGTGCTTTGCCTGTTAAATAAACAAGTTTTTTTTCCACTTCTCTCCGAGGAAATATTTCCCCAAAACAGCTGGGGGAGGGACTGCTTGAATCTGTTTCCTAGCAGGATCCCCTTCAGAGGTTTTCTCCCAAATTTGACCTAAACCAGGACAGAGAGAAAAAAGGGTGGCTTATTGTTTTGTCTTAATTTCTTGGAGTAACATCAGTTCAGCATCTTTTAATTTCCCCTGCCTGGACAGTGTGTGTGTCACGCTCTGCAGAGGGAGGACTTGGGATGCCCGCCTGTCATCTGCAAAGCCACTGTGAGCCCTTCCAGCTGGGAACAGCAGAGCCATCCCAGGCCTTCACAGTCATCCTCAGTACTACAAAGATTTTGATTCCATTTTCCACTGTTTCCAACCCTCATGATGCTTTGGGAGCAGACTTGCTGATCTACAGAGATTGCAGATCAATGCTGTGATGGCAGTAAAATCCCATTCCACAGAGCCCTTTCCTAGTCTGTTCCCTAATCCTAATCCATGGGGATTTATCTGACATGCTCTGAGCTGTGAGGGCCGTGTGGCAAACTAAGCCTAGGCTTATTCCTAACTCAGTGGACTCAGTTCCTTTGGAATGGCCTGCTGCTCCTTTTTCCAGGTTGCCTTTCAGAGCTGGCAACTTGCCATTGTAATTTACAGAGGGAATTTACAAAGGGAAGTTGTTTCTTGTTTCTACTAGGCCCAAAGGGATTTAACAATTTTCTTTGCAAATTTCCAGCGATAAACATTAGTCCTCTGGTAGCTCTCTCCTGTGCTTTTGTACATTTCTACCTCTTCAACAGATACACAAACCAGGCAGCTGTTTCACAGAGGGCAGGAGTAGCAAGTGATGGGGGAAATCCTCATTTTCCTCTCACAGATGGAGGAAGGCTCCAGTCTTGTACCCACTCCTTCCTTTCAGTTACTCCCAGACATGGAAACTTTTCAATTCATGGAATTAGCTTGCTGTGTCAGACCCTTACTCTGCTTAGAAACTTTGGGTTTTTTTTTTAAACTATATTTCTGTGCTATAATGAGGAAATTCCCTAAGAAAACATGTTTTAGAAAGTCTTTTAAGCAATAGAAGTGAGTATTGACTGGATGGCTTCTGCTGTGTCAGGTAATGCAGGCAAGGTAGAGCTAAATAGGCCATATGTCCTAAAAGAAAAGGAATCTGGGAATCTGATATAGGAAGTTATGTGTGTGACTCTTCTGTTTTTTAGCCCTGTGAAATATTTTAGAACTTAGTTTTCTGAAAGAAGGTTAGCTTAGTTTCACTAGCAACTGATTAATTTTGCAAGTCAATGAAAGTAATGAAAGAATATGACTGAAAATTTAGAGTAATTGGCAAAACTACAGTATTTTCTGCAGATATTAAGTCTTTGTCTTTGAAGTTGCCCTTCAGTGGAAGATAGGACTAATTAAGACTAGAGCTGTTTGCAGATGGACTGAACAGCAAAATATACCCTGCTAGCAGCATTGGTGCTGTGTGGATTGCACTGCAGTTATCTGCCATTTTAGAGTTTGCTTTTTTTTTCTTTTTAAATAAGATGCTTAATGATATGCTCTCTTACTGATTTAGTTGTGATTGTCTTGGTGTACATGCAACAATTTTGAAGTCCTGATTCCACTTTGCAGGATGCAAACCTGGTGGTATTTTGGTTAATGAATTGTCTGGTCATAACTTCTTAAAACAGGCTGTAAGTAATGTCTGTGTGAAGCATGGCATGCAGGAATGTATTGCATAAGAAATGTGTCTTACAGGCATCTTGTCATTATTTTGGTTCTGTCAGTGAACTTGTTCCCATGACTTGGATCAAGTCGGATTTCTGTGTGTGATCTGAGCATGGTGACACTGTCTTATGCTACTGTTTATTTTAGCTGTGTTGGTAAAGAACAGGCAAACCTTCCTTTTCACCTCTGCAATGCCTAGGCCAAATTCACCTGCACTGAAGTTGCACAAGGCTGAACTGGGCTCAGCTTTTTCATAGGAAATGTGCTGATCAATGCAGAATTTGTTTTTGTTTATTTGTCTTCCAAAAGAAAGCATGGCTTTTGCAGCATTTAATGTAGTAAAAAAATCACATGTAGCCACTTGTCTTCATGTCTGTGTGTGCTCAAAATTGCTGTGAACAACATAAGCAAATCAGGACCCAGTGCCAACCAATCTGTGGATTGATATTTTTTTATTATTTATTTTTTCCCCCTTCCAGGCATGAATTGAATTCTCCATATGCATGTCTTAAGCAGTTTTTAGGTTAAAGAAATTTTTGTATATCGTTTTGTATATTGTAAAGAATTGCAAGGGCATGGGAATTTGCTTGTAGGGAACCAGCCAGGAATTCCTCTTGTAGAGAGAAGGTCTCTCGGCTGTTGTACCTTCTGCCTGTGCTGAGCTCAAACAACATCTAGGGAGCAACAGCAGAGGGGATGGAGTGGGTTCACCTCTTTCTGAATTTCCAGTGATTTGTGTGCCTTTCTAGGTTGCAGTCAAGCAGTCTGAATCACAGAACTCCTGAGCCTGTCAGGACATTTGCCAGCAGATGGTCCAGAGAGCTTGGGGCTCATGATTACTTTCTAAGCTTTTTCTGGGAACTTCAGAGAACTTAATGCAACTTTTGGATGAACTGAGCTGCTCCTGGAATTCATAGATTCATATCTATTTCCTGGTCTGGAGTTTCTGCTGAACCAAAGGCATGCTTATTGGGAATGTGAGGGTTCATTAGGAGAAAATCTTCAACCCAAGTGATTGCAGATCATGGGTGAACAGACCTGCTGTGTGAATTGCCTGCAAATAAATTCACCAAGTGCCATTCCTAGAGCATGCATTTGATAAATTTCCTAAATATGCTAGATCACTTCATTTTTTTGGACAACTGCATGGGTCTAAATTGCATTTTATTTCTGACTTCCAGGTTGTGGTGGGAGATAAAGTTGTTCTCATGCCAGTCAATGCAGGACAGCCTCTGCACGCCAGCAACATTGAGCTTCTAGATAACCCTGGCTGCAAAGAGGTGAGTTCAGGGGGGCAGGAGGGATAACTGCTGATCTCAGATGGTTATAGAAAGGCTGAGAGAAGTGGGATTGTTCAGCCTGGAGAGGAGAAGGCTTTGGGGTGACCTCACTGTGGCCTTCCAATGCCTGAAGGGAGCCACAGGAAAGATGGAGAGAGACTCTTGACAAGGGCCTGGAGTGACAGGACAAGGGGCAATGGCTTCACACTGACAGAGAGGAGGGTTAGATTGGATATGAGGAAGAAATTGTTCCCTGTGAGGGTGGTGAGGCCCTGGCACAGGTTTCCCAGAGAAGTTGTGGCTGCCCCATCCCTGGCAATGCCCAAGGCCAGGCTGGATGGGGCTCTGAGCAAGCTGGGATAGTGGAAGGTGTCCATGCCCATGGCAGGGGCTTGGAACTGGGTGATCTTTACATCCCTTCCAGCCCAGGCCATTCTGTGATTCTGTGATATGTTGTTCTTCACTGGTAACCAGAACCCACCATGAACCCACCATGGGCTCAAAGCCAATGTTAAAAACTGGTTCCAGCTTAACCTCAAAAACCCAAGATGAAATATTCTCACTGCAGTGATGCCCTGGCACTGAAAACTCTGTGAGATTTCCTTGAGTATTTCAAACTCTGACTGATGTGAGAGTAAATCCTCATTCAGCATCCCTTTGGGTTGTTCTTGGTAAGCTGTCAGCAAACAGAGCAGCATTTGCCCACCCAGTCTTCTCCAACATTACAATCATGAACACTTGAGAGCTTCAGGACCAGTGTTAGGAACTGTACACACATGTAGTAGCTAAGCCATGTGCCCTGCCATCCTAGATGTGGTGTGGTCTTTCAGAAGAATGGAATGTCTCAAAAAGAAACCAACATCCCCTTATACTCTAATTGGGTCTTTTTTTTTTTTTCCTCTAAAGGTAAATGCTGTCAACTGTAACACAAGCTGGAAAATAACTTTGTTCATGAAATTCAGTAGTTACCGAGATGATGTACTGAAAGGAGTAAGTATGATTTTTAACTTTTGAATTTTTGAATTTTTTGAATCCAAGAAGTCTTACTATATTTGATTGTAGAGAAATATTACCTGGTGAATAAAAGAAGAATTAAGGACTTTATGGATGTGTTCAAAGTGGTATTACAGGCTTATAGATGACAATAGCTGTAATAAGGTAATGTAGCTTTACATGTTACATTATTGCACAGTTGTATTGTACTGCACATTTCATGCCTATAGATTTATCTCTGAGATACTTTACATTTTCATTTTAAAGATAAGTTTAATTTGTCCTCACATGTACCTTAATAAATCATTATCAGCTGGCTATTTTTTCAGTAGGTGTTAAGGTACCAGTTACCAAGTTTACCAAATACCAAGTTTTTGAGGAAGAATTTGAAAGGGAAGATGGTACATTTGTACAGACTCATTTAAGGATAGTGTTTCAAGTCTTGGAGAGAGGCAGGAGGAAACAAAAATGATTCCAGCAGAAGAAATAGAGAGGGGGTGTTGGTGTTGATTGCAGAGTAGGAGAGATAAGATAATACAATATTAGAAAAACCTTTTCACTTCCCTTAAATACTAAAAGAGATTAGAAATTTAAAAAATCAATTTAGTAAAGTTAACTAGAATTAAAAATCAACTAGGTTAATTTTTGCCCACTGTTCATTGTGGTGGTTTCCCAAATGGCCATGGGTCTCCTGCAGGACAGAGTTATCCCATCTGATTTCCAGACTTGGTGCTAAGATTGAACATTCTTCACTTGGTACCTGCTCCAGCAATAAGAAACTCAGAAGTGTTTTCTTCCTGTCAGCTCTGCTGGCATCACTGGAGCTGTTACAAATAGAAAATGAGTCTGGTGGCTTTGCCTACCACTTAACAGTGCTTCTTTTTCATATTTCTTTAGGGAGATGTTGTGAGGCTGTTTCATGCAGAGCAAGAGAAGTTTCTGACCTGTGATGAATATGAGAAGAAACAACACATTTTCCTCCGCACTACGTTACGTCAGTCAGCCACGTCTGCAACAAGTTCTAAAGCACTGTGGGAAATAGAGGTATTTTTTTTTCTTCTTTTTATAAATATTTTAGGATCTGAAGGCCAGGGCTCAGTAAAAAAAACTTCACCACAGCATGAGTCATTCATAGGCTCCTGATATCATCACACACCTCCCTGTAACTATTATTATTTCATGAAGCAGTTTGTGTAGGATGAACCCTGAAGAGCTGCTTTATTGCTCTGTGTGTGTGGAGAGAGGAGGCTTTCTTACTATATTTACCTGCACTAAAATGAGGAAGAGTCAAATTTCAAATTCAGACTTGACGTAAATGGTGTGATTTTATCAAAGCCAATCAAAGGACACTCACCTCTCCTGAGTTTTGAGTGTTTACGTTTAACTTCATGTGCAGTATGGAAAATGGAAATCCATGGCAGACAGGAAATCTCCCAGACACCACACAACACATCAACGTTTGTTACAAGTTAACCTGAATAAAGGTGCTGTTGTGAATGGGGGTGATTTTGAGAAGGGAGCTAGGAAACATTTTTGTTCAACTAAGAAACATTGGAAATTGGTAGGTCTCAAATCCTTGCTATTGCAATAATACAACTCCTATACCCAAAAGTTCTTGTGTGATAAACAAACTTGGTATGTTTAAAACATTTAAAGCATTTAAATGAGAGTCTTCAGAAAAATGGTTGATTTTTGTCTGGGTAAGGATTGGCTGGAGTAGAATGTGTTGCACTTGTACTTATTGGAGATTCCTCCATAAAGGAGACACACACTGCTAGATTTGAAGAAAGCAAATGACCTTACAGCTCAGTCAAGGGATAAAAGAAATAACCTGGGATATTTCAGATGATAGGAGGATATATATCACTTGAATGAAAATTTTTCAGAAGCCCCTAGTATTGCCCGAAATGGAGTTGGTATAATTGATAAAATAATGCAAGATGGTTTGAATTTTGCTTTTAAGTAGTGCCTAGGAGTGTAGAGCAGCTCTCCTTACTTTCTTGAGCTGCAGATTCACATAATCTCACTTAAAAGCAAAATTTGGCTCATCATGTTTGCAGGGAATAGATTAATGAAAGCATGGAAAGTCATAGAAGTATTTCCTAGCACTTGGCAAAAAGAAAGTGTGAGTAGTTGTTATCTGTGGTGAGCTTTGTGTAAACTCATAATTCCTCTCTTTGGCAGGCTGCAATGATGTACTTTGCATATTTTTATTAGGAGTGAGCTGCAGGAAATGTCAGTGATCTGAAGTATGATCTTGAGGAGCATGATTAAAATCTAAATTCTTCTTTTAGGTTGTCCACCATGACCCTTGCCGGGGAGGGGCAGGACAGTGGAATAGCTTGTTTAGATTTAAGCATTTGGCAACTGGAAACTACTTGGCTGCAGAGGTAAGAATGCCAGTTAAACAAGTGTTTGTGTGCTGCCTAACCAAGTCCTGCTGGCTCAGAACTGCTGTAGCAGGTGGGTTGGCAGTGCAGATCTTCACAAAGATCCCACACTGGGGCCTTGCTGGGTCATACTGTATTGTGCACCCAGGGATTGCAGGGCAAACACCTCTGGTAAATACCCACCACGTTTATACTGAAAACCCTCGGGTTCATTTATCTCTCTGCTCCTGTTTGCCCTTGACTTTTGGAGTAGTGTTGTGTCTGTGTATTGGTGTCATAAGAGTTCATTGTGATTATATAGGTTGCAGGCTTCTGCTATTGCACTCTTGCCTTTTGATTAAATTTGAATAAAAAAAGATCTGAGGAAGTCTCTGGCCCTTTTGATGGAATGGAAAGTCCCAGAGGAGAAGGAAGAGCTTGCAACTTGTCTGGTTATTATCTGGTACTTTGTATTAAGGCAAAAGTGTATTGTGATTCCCCCAAAAAGCAGCTCAATATTTTTTAAGACTCCTTAAAAATAAAATATGGCTCTTGACAAGCTGGAATACATCAGATAATACCACGTGTATGAAATGATACAGCCTTGGATATTTTAATGGTTGCAAGAAGCTGTGAACTTTTTGAGTCATATCTAATCCATATTAACACAGGTCTGTGTCCAAGTTTTATCAATGGAGTGAAAAGTAGAGTCTTTTTCCCACTGATTTAGAGTTGCTTATTTTAACTTATGCTTTGAAGTATGAGTGCAAAAATTTACTGCAAGAAGAAAGTTATAAATTACTATATGTTAGGGAACCCCTGCTCTGACTGAGTTGAGTTAGATTTACAGCACTGCAACTTCTATATACAGACAACTCCTTAGTATTCCCAGGGTGCTGCTTTGATTTTCCAGCTCCTGTAACAGCCTGCACTGAGTTCAGAGGAAGAGCAAACAGGAGCTATCAAACCTTCATTTATTTCTAATTATGTCAAGGCCACTACCAAAACATAAACAGTGGACTGCTAATAATAGCTAATTTTCAAGAGGCAACCAGTACTCCCACCTGAGAGTGGGAGTATTTTCCTTTTTGCTTACAGTGAGGGATGCTCCCAGTAGGAAGATTTGACTGGCTGAGCTGATGGAGAGTCAGGAAAGGCACTGAGCATACTGATGGGCTTCCTTCTTCCACCAGCTGATCTGTCTGGGGGATTTTTAGGCCAAAAATCTTCAGGTGAAGAGGTGCCATGCTGCACTGAATGTCAGAGCTGAGTTTCGGTCCTTTCTACCTCTGGAAAGGAAATCCCCATCAGGCAGATTTGTAATATGGAGAATATAATTGGCAACAGTGGAGTGAGAGCTGAAAGAGCTATTGGATTGAACAGAGGTGATATGCTGGGACTGGACAGCTGCATTAGTGACTGTGTCTGTGAGGTGTAAAATACCTGTGGTGGAGATATTAAAGGTACTGGTGCAATGAAACCCTGTGAACTGTATTTTGCACAGTTCATATGTCAGGCACAACACAGCAGCCAGCCAGACACGTCAAAGATTTATGAACAGGCAGGCAGACACCTCGTGTGCGTGACCCAACTTTAAATCAATTGGGCAAAGCCTACTGAACACTTATCTGTGCTGTGACAGCACAGGGAGATTACTCATGGTATGGATTATCAACAGCGTCACACATTGCCATGACCTGATTTTGTTTAAGCCTCCATGATAAAGATATCTGGAGTGGAATAAAAAATACAAACACAAGAAGAAATTTCACAAATCTTTTAAGCATTTTGTTGTTGGCTAATGATGCGATTTCTGTCACAGTTTGAGCTGTTGTAAATCAGGATTCATCACTGTTTACAACTGTCTTTTTTCTTACTTCATCCTCGCTTAAATCAACTTTATGTGTGCCATGGAGGCTTCTGCAGGGGAGTCTTGCATGAGTCAAGTCTCAGACAAGGAGCAGAAGTGTCCTTCACCTGGGTGTTTCCCTTTTCTCCTCTCATACCTTGTGTGAGCAGCCTGTGCCTTCTCTTGTCCTTGGAGTTGTCCTGTGCCAGATGTAGCTGGTCAGCCTGGTCTGGGGTTTGGTGGGTCACTACTGAGTCATGTTGGGAAGGGCTGCCCCTGCAGCTCGTTACGGCCAGGGGGTGATCTGGGGACCAAGAAAATTGAAGATGCTTGCCTCAGAGAACTAAGGAATTTAAAGTTGATAAAGGTGTTTCAATACTACAGTAAGCAAATTAATAAAAAATTTTAAAAAAAAGTGAGGCAATACCGTTGTTCAATTAAAAACACCTACGAGAGGACTTGTAAATCTAATTGTTATAAACTTGAGAGGATGAAGTCAGGACGTGTAAATCCTAAATTCCATGTTCCTTAGAAGTACAATTGGTTGTCCAACTTTTGTTGCCTTTCAAAGACCTCTCGTACCTCGGACTTCTGACACAGTCTCAAGCAGTAGTATTTCCTTTAATCCTCTTTCCACTTGGCATCATTTAGCCTAATTTTAATTACTGTGCTTTGAAGTTCTTTAATACCTTATAGGAACCTAGATCCTTCTCCCAGACTTTTGGCTGAAGGTGAGCCACCCTGAAGGACCTACTGCTGAAGGAGTCACAGTGGGAGACACTTGGTGATTCCACACACCTGCATTGCCATTCCTCTGCTGCTCTGCACAGCCTGGGTCACTCAGAGTGTCTGTGTGCTCTCACACAATTACTTAGACACAAGAGGAATCTACTGAAGAAAAGGTTTCGCGTTTGGTGATAAGATTTGGGACTTCGGAAATCTGGGTACTTGGCAATGATGTCTGACATTAGGAAACCTTAAGTCACAGGCTTACACGTTCCCAAAAAAAGTGGAACCAAATACTCAGGTGAAAAATTGGAAAGAAATTGTCTTCTTTGGAGACAACGGGAGTTCTGCTCTTAGTGTCGTAAGGGCTTGTTTTCACCCAAAAGAGCTGAGCCAGATCTTCAGCAGGAGATTTAGGCACTAAGCCACCAACTAAGATCCAGGCTGCTGAGTTTCATTCTCAGAACAGAGTTTTATTCTCATCTTCACAGAGTCAGCAGTCTTTTAGAAAAACTTCTGCAGAAGATCCTTTTTATAGCCCTGGTTACAGCAAAATGACCCAAGTTATTTCGAAGCTTTACATTTATAAAGAAAGGCAGTAAGGTTAGGTGAAAATTGGATGTTTCAAAGTAACAAAGATTTGCCCAAAAGTCTTTCCAGTGCATGTAGCCCATGTAGAAGGCACCCAAAGCTATCTGTGTGTGTGGGAGTGAGCTGCAGTTTGCTTGAACAGCCTTGCAGATGCTGCAGGTTGGGACCACACAGCTGTGCCTTTCTCATGAACATACATAACCTTTCATTATTCTAAATTGCCAAGATAAAAGTCTCTTTGAACTGAGTATCAGCTTATCAATTTTGCTGAACCAAAACATGCACTTTTAATATTGTTCTCCACATGTATAGCAGCTCTGGTTCTGTGATTTCTAAACTGGGCAATTCATAGTGAAACTATTAACACTTGTTTTATGAGGCTGTTAAACAGATATGTGTGCCCACCCACAAGAAATGCAGGATGAGTCTGTCATTTCACATTCAACTTCTCAGGTATGACTAAAATAATACAAAACACATGTGCATCTATCAAATCACATGCTGGTCTCAGATATTGCAGTAGATGATAGATAAGCCACAGTATGTTGCTTATGAGACCTTGTGAGCACGTACGTGATCACTGTGCAGAATTTGTAAGAAAAAAAATCTGTGATAATTCTGTTTTACTTAGCTGAATAGATTAGAGTTACTAGATACCTTGGCCATAATATGGTAGTAAATCTAGTGAGGTCTTTAACACCAAATTAGCTCTACTAAACTAAATGAATTACGATAAGGCAGGTAAAAAAAATGGCAGCCTGAATGTTCACATTCTGTGCTTCTCCAGAACTGTGGCCATAAACAATTACTGCTGTGGGAAACTTCTCTGGCTTTCTTAGAGAGTTCTCCTTCCTCTCTCTTTAAGAGTGAAAAGGCACAGTTAAAACTGTAAAATGGATCAACTCTGATCAGTTTTGTTCTAAACTCTGTTTTTAAAATACCACAAGAAACATCCTTCCAGCTTTTGGATTATTTTAGCACTAAATACTCAGTGGAGTTTCTTTTAAAGGTGGGAATGATTAAATTCAGTTGGGCTGAGCAGCACAGGTTACACACACATGAGATGAAATGACAATTTGATGAATGTTAATTGAACAGGAAGTCCAGTCCAACTTGCCAAGGCTGTAGTTCAGTGGTGGAGCACTGCAGGAGCAACACAGGCCCCAGAAATGTCCTTTTTCCTCAGGTATTGGATTGTGCAGACACAAGGTGCTGTCCCTGAGGTGGTGTTGGCATGGACTCCAGGGCATGGGGAAGAGGGAATAGTCTGTGCTGGAACAGAGTCACTGAGCTAAGGCACCAGAGTGTTTTGGGTGGGTTTACAGGGACTGCTGAAGCCTTGCAGGACTGTCAGCTGATTTTCACCACACTGGTGTAAACCACTTGCTGAGAGCTCTTGGATCAATGGCCAATAGAAGTTACTCATGTTTCTCTTGTTTTTCTTGAATGATTTCTCCCCATATTACCTCACTCTACTTTTCTGTCAAAATTGCCCCAAACTGCCCTTTTTTTTTTTTTTCAGAGAAGCTTATGTACATCATTCATTTTAAAATGAGAATTGCTGTTTCATTTTGCTTTTACAGTCCATGCCAAGGGGTTGGAAGTAGAGGATCTTTAAGGTCCCTTCCAACCCAAATCATTCTAGGATTCTGTGATTAAAATATTAGCCTGCCATGTTATAGAAATTGTTATGGTATGCATTTATGCAGATGGACAGGGCCATACCCTTCATAGTAAATTTAAGCCTGTTGTTATAATCACTTGTTTTGGATCGTGGTGAAGATAGCTGAGTACATGCTTAAGTTAATACTGAGAGAAAATAATCCTCTCCTGCCTTCTGAATAGTAAAGATTAT